CTTAAATGCATTGTTTTATTTCTTGATGACCTTGTTTTTATACAGGATTGCATTACGGGGCGAATCATTGGTACCGGGCGTGAATCAAATAAACTTTATTACCTTATCCTTGCAAAATCACATGGACTCACATCATGTCTTCCTTCAACAACTTGTCCAGTTACTGATTCACCAGATTTATTACATAAACGGTTGGGACATCCCAGTTTGTCAAAACTTCAGAAAATGGTACCTGGTTTATCTCACTTGCCTACTCTAGAGGGTGAGTCTTGTCAGCTCGGTAAGCATACCCGTACCTATTTCCTTTGGCGTCTTGATAATCGAGTAGAGTCACCTTTTACTTTAGTCCATTCAGACGTTTGGGGTCCTAGTCGAGTTAGTTCTACCTTAGGTTTCCGCTACTTTATTAGTTTTATTGATGATTATTCCAGGTGCACTTGGATATTTTTGATGAAAAATCGATCTGACTTGTTTTCTATTTTCAGACCTTCCACGCTGAAATTCAAAATCAATTTGGGGTTTCTATTCGCACATTTTGTAGTGATAATGCCCTAGAGCATGTCTTCCCCATTTCAGCAGTTTATGAACTCTCATGGGATTATTCATCAAGCAATTTGTCAGTACACATCTCAACAAAATGGGGTAGCTGAAAGAAAGAAGAGACATCTTATTGAAACTGCTCGTACCCTACTCATACAATCTCATGTTCCGTTACATTTTTGGGAGGATACAGTTCATACATCTTGCTATCTTATTAATCGTATGCCATCTTCAACTATCCAGAATCAAGTTTCATTCTCTGTCTTGTTTCCCCACTTAACTTTATTCTCTCTTCCACACCGTGTCTTTGGAAGCACGTGTTTTGTTCATAACCTTACTCCAGGAAAAGATAAGTTAGCTCCTCGTGCTCTTAAGTGCGTATTTCTGGGTTGCTCGAGAACGCAAAAGGAGTATCGATGCCATTCTCCAGACCTCTAGTGGTACCTTATGTCTGTTGATGTTACCTTCTTTGAAACCCAATCATACTTCAAAGGCCCACGTAATCACTTAGATATTTCTGAGGTGCTACAAGTTTCATCTTTTGGAGATTCAGTCACTATCTCCCATTCATCTTCCTCTACAACTCCAGCTTCACCACCTGCAACTCCAATTGCAGATCCACCACATATAGCTCCAGCTCCACCACCTAGTCCAATTCAACCTTCTGTAGCTCCACCACTCTTGACTTATCATAGTCATCAACGTCCAGCATCAGGCCTAGGTGATTCACGTCCTGCATCAGATTCTGCACCTACTGCGGACTTGTCTCCTCTTAGACAATCAATTGCACTCCGTAAAGGTGTATGATCCACACTTAATCCTAATCCTCGTTATGTCGGTTTAAGTTATCATTGTCTATCATCACCTCATTGTGCTTTTATATCATCTTTGTCCACTGTTTCTATCGATAAGTCTACGGGTGAGGCACTATCTCATCCAAGATGGCGACATGCTATGATTGACGAGATGTCTGCTTTACATGCGAGTGGCACTTGGAAGCTTGTTCCTCTTCCTTCAGGTAAGTCTACTGTTGGTTATCGTTGGGTTTATGCAATCAAAGTCGGCCCGGATGGCCAAGTTGATCGGCTTAAGGCTCGCCTTGTTGCAAAAGAATACACTCAGATTTTTAGGCTTGATTATAGTGACACTTTCTCTCCCGTGGCTAAAGTAGCATTCGTTCGTCTCTTTTTGTCCATGGTTGTTGTACGTCATTGGACTCTTTATCAGTTAGACATTAAGAATGATTTTCTCCACGATGATCTTGAGAAAAAAGTTTATTTGGAGCAACCACCTGGTTTTGTTGCTCAGGGGAGTCTAGTGGTCTTATATGCCGATTGCGCAAGTCACTATATAGTTTGAAACAACCCCCTCGAGCTTGGTTTGGTAAGTTCAGCACAGTTATTCAGGAGTTGGACATGACTCGTAGTGAAGTTGATCACTCTGTGTTTTATCAGCATTCTGCTCCTAATCTATGTATTTATCTGGTGGTTTATGTTGATGATATTGTTATTACTGGCAAAGATCAGAATAGTATTATTAATTTAAAGCAATATCTCTTTCAGCACTTCCAGACTAAGGATCTAGGCAGACTAAAGTATTTTCTAGGTATTGAGGTCGCTCAGTCTAGCTCAGGTATTGTTATTTCACAGCGGAAGTATGCCTTAGACATTCTTGAGGAGACTGGATGATGGGTTGTAGACCTATTGACTCTCCTATGGATCTGAATGATAAGCTTCTGCCAGGACGAGGGAGCCTCTTAGAGATCCTACGAGATATAGGAGGTTGGTTGGCAAATTGAATTACCTCACAGTGACTAGACCTAACATTTTTTTTCTGATGAGTGTTGTAAGTCCGTTTATGGATTCTCCATGTGATAGTCACTGGGATGCGGTTGTTCGCATTCTTCGATATATAAAGTCAGCTCCAGGCAAAGGATTATTATTCGAGGATCGAGGCCACGAGCAGATTGTTGGGGTACATAGATGCTGATTGGGCAGGATCACCTTCTGATGGAGGTTCTACGTCTGGATATTGTGTTCCAATAGGAGATAATTTGGTCTCTTGGAAGCGCAAGAAACAAAATGCAGTTGCTCGTCTAGCGGCGAAGCCGAATATCGGACCATGGCTATGGCAACGTGTGAGCTAGTTTGGGTCAAGCAGTTGCTCAAGAAGTTGAGGTTTGGAAAAATTACCAAGATAGAACTAGTGTGTGATAATCAAGTTGTGCTTCATATTGCGTCAAATCCGGTGTTTCATGAGAGGACTAAACACATTGAAATCGATTGTCACTTTGAAAGAGAAAAGATGCTCTCAGGAGATATTGTTAAAATGTTTGTGAAGTCGAATGATCAGCTAGCTGATATTTTCACTAAGTCTCTTACTGGTTCTCGTATTGGTTACATCTGTAACAAGCTCGGTACATATAATTTGTATGCACAGGCTTGAGGGGGAGTGTTAAGTAGTTAGTCATGTATAGTGTCCAACATCGGGAAGTAGATACATATTATTATGTAATCATTGTACATAAATAGGGTGTTGTACAATACTTTAGATAATCAATACTCCCTCCGTTCCAGTTTATGTGAACCTATTTCCTTTTTGGTCCGTTCCAAAAAGAATAACCCCTTTCTAAATTTGAAAATAATTTAGCTTAAACTTACAATTCTACCCTTAATGAGAAGCTTTTATAGCCGCACAAATACTCTAGGCCCCTTTTTGACTTGTTTAGGACCACAAATTCCAAAAGTCTTCATTTTTTCTTAAACTTCATGCCCAGTCTACTACAACCGAATAGCCAACCTCCGACACTTCAAGATCGAGGACTTGGTGTTGAGAAAAATGACATTGCACACCCGGAACCTGAACGAGGGAAAGCTGAGACCGAATTGGGAAGGACCATATCAAGTCGTTGGAATTACCAACAAAGGCTCGTACAAACTTGAAGCAGGAAACGGTGTACAGCTACTGAACAACTGGAATGTGACGCACTTAAAGCGGTACTACTGCTAAGGTACAATCTCAATTACTCTTTAATAATATTATGAATTGGACCAACACTTGTAGGCAACGGCCAAGGGAGAATATGACTATTAGGTCTGAAAGCACGCGTTACACTCTTTTTCCCTTGAACCGGTTTTGTCCCAAAATAGATTTGTCGGTAAGGTTTTTAACGAGGCAATAGTAAATCGTGCTAATTTAGATTCGAAGGCCGGTCTCAAACCGGAGTCAATGGGCGCATCAACAGTATCCGAGCCCTCTCAAGCTCGACCTCAAATATTGGGGGCCATCACCCTCGGGTTAAGGTTCTTAGCAAGGAAAGGACATTTCGTACTTGAGTAGCTAAGGCTTGGTGGTTAGGATACATTGTAAGGGCTAAACGGTCGAAAGAACTGTGCCCACATAGCCCACCTTAGCCATGATACAAAATTTTTATCATGTACTTTACACATTGAAATGAAAGAAAGTTCTGCCTTGCTATTACGCAGTTTCTTACTTCTTAAAACCTGGATCCTAAGAGCCCACAGGCTACCCTATTCGGGGACTATCGAGCCCAAGGGCTACCCTTACTCGGGGATTATCGAGCCCAGGGGTTACCCTTGCTCAGGGACTATAGTCCGAAAAAATTTCGGATAAACCGGGCTACTAAATGAGCACCAAACCTATTAGGCCGTGCCCAAAAACAAAAGGCTACGGCCACCCAAAAAACGACTTGAAGACATCCGAAGCTCGTAATCAAAGTAAGGCCTTTATAAATATTCAAAATCTGCCAAAAGGTTACCCTCGGCAAAAGCATCGGTTAAAAACACTTAAGCATCTTGAGAAAAACAACTTCTGGTAACACCAAGTTTTCAAAGCCTCGAGACCATGTAAGATACACAGACGATTGAGCAATTTCATTGTCTATTATGTCAAGAAGTAACAAGTATATATACAAGTACATGACCCTAACTATAGAAAGAATCAAAAAAGAAAATCCTATAGATTTGTTGTGAATTCCTATAATATTGCTATGTACATTACATAAGAGTATGTCTACGTTCACTAAGTAACAGAATGTTGTTCACTATGTAACAATTATTATTACTATTTATCGCCTTTGGATCATGCTTTTAGTTTCGTTGGTTCGCCTAGCTGGTTAAGTGAGGTGTCATCATGGCTTGGGCAAATTGGGTCGTGATACACATGAAATTATCAACACAATAGGTTCAACACTTTAAGCTTATTTTAAATTCTTTAAAAACGACTTGAAGGCAAAGCCTAATTGTTCTTTGTGTCAGGACAAAATTTTTCTTCTGGTAAGATATCAAAACTAGCCACCAAAGTGTTGTCAGCTGTGTACTAAACTTTGACAGTAACATACAGTTTATGCAGGCAGATTAGACACAATAGTATACGAGCATATGTATTTTGAATAAGTTGATACAACTGACTGAAATAAAGCATCTGCCATGAAGTCATACCTCCAACCAAAAGGTCCAGTTTTTATCGCCTGCACCACTTAATCTACATATATATGATGGAGGACCATTACCAGTCTTCTCAGGAGCTGTATAACATGTCCACTGAGATTAACAAAGCTGCCATAGGTGAAAAAGATCCATACTGAAAGCGGAAAACATATAGATTACCTGGAAGAATGTTATCTGCAAATGACCAGCTGGATAATGAACCAGTAATATTAAGGACTGCAACCCAGACTTCCTTCAAGGAACTGAAAGCAGACAAGAGAAACTATGAAAAAGCTGATTAATTACTAGGGACAGAGAATCTAGTTTTAACACAATAGTACTAGGAGAAAATATACTAGGAAATCTTATCATATCTGAGTTATGAATTTAACTTTATCCCGTTTGCAGTTCATGATCGATTTTTGGCACCAATTTCAAGCAATGGAGATTGAAAATAATCCGAGGACCAATATTTCCCGAGTTCAAACAAGGTAAACATCAACTTTGTGATTTCACATGCTATACTCTATTAAACCTAAGAAATGCCTGTCAAACTGGGGAGAGTCGTATCCAGCAATAAATAACAGCATCACGTTGACATGAACTGCATATTTCAGAGGGATCTTTCTGTAATCAGATTACTACAATTTGATACAGCTAGCGGATAATCTACATCAGAACATGTTTAGCAAAAAAAAAATATTAATCTACATTAAAACATGAATTGAACATTCGGGTTACTATGAGATCACATAAAGTGCCATAACAGATATTAGTAACCCGTATTCATTAACTTAAAACAGGTAAAATAAGTGTTTGGGTCCTCGGATGTGAGAGGTCATGGTCATCTTTGATACACTATAAATACATTCTATTTAACCAAGGACCATGAATCTCTGAACTCATTCTTAAGATTCACTTTTGAAAATGCCCCGTTGAAGAGAGACTTTAATCCCGTAAGCAGTTCTGAATTCTGATAAATTTTTGGTGTCAATTTCAAGCAAAAAAAGAATGAAAACTTCATGTGAGCAAAATATTCCTGAGTTCAAAACAACATAAAACTCATTTCTATGGTTCCACAGTCCTATACTCCATTAAACCTTAGAAATATTGTCAAAATGACGGACAAATCATATTTAGCATTCAATAGAAACATCATCCCATGAACTGCATAATTCAGAGGGTTCTTCTTTAAAAACCTGACTAAATAGTTTTGATACAGCCAGCAGATAATTTATATCTACATCAGAACATGAAGAACTTCAGTGCACCACGAGATCACATAAAGTGGCATAGCACTAAAGTTGGTAACCTCCAGGCAGGAAAATGGATCTCCATTAATTTAACATTTCAAAAATGTATTGGATCCCTTGGAATTAATACTCCTGAACTCATTTTTAAGATTCACTTTTGAAAATGACAATATGAAATAAAGACATAAATTGTACTTATCCAATTTACCCAAGGGAAAACTCCAAGTAGATCCTGCGGGAACCCCCACTCAAACTCTCTTGTGGCTTGTTAATCACCAAATGTGGGAAATGATTGTATTCAGCCAAGACATCCGAACTTTGCGCAGGAAACGTCATGCATCTTGAAAACAACGAAGATATTGGAAATATCCCCTGCAAAAGGGAAAAGATTATTACATGAAAGCAAAATATATTATTTGAATTACCACTAGGACATGCAACAACAACAACAACAAACCTAGTACAATCCCACTAGGACATAATTTACAAAAATTATCAGAGTGCCACTTCAATACAACAGCAAAGCTTTAGAAAAGTTGCACTTCATCACGATACTCGGCTGTAACCCAGTTTACTACCGCATCAAATTTAAGAACATCTTTCGAAAACAAGAACAGTCACATGGTAATAGTTCCCGAGTAAACAAGATTTCAAAACCAATAGCTATAGGATTCAGGATGAAAGTAGTTTCCTTTTTCCCCTCTTTTTTTTTT